CAAGTTGCGAGTCGCATCTGAGGACGACTCGTCGTGCTCCATATTTGAGGGCTAGCTTTAATCCTGCAATTACGGCCTCATACTTGGCCTCATTGTTAGTCATTTCGGGGCACCGTATGGATTGGCGAATCACTTCGCCTGTTGGGACTTCAAGTACGAGTCCCAGTCCAGATCCCGATGCATTAGATGCGCCACCGGTGTAAAGGACCCATAGGTCGGGCTGTCCAGGAGAGGTGCGAAGTGTTTCCTGCTCGACCTCGGACAATATTTCGGCACTAAAGTCAGCAACGAAGTCGGCGAGTACCTGTGATTTTATCGCCATTCACGGCTGATATGTTATATCGTGCTCGCTCAATTCTATGTCCTACTTGGCCAGTCTTTCCGACAATTCGGGTTTATGCAGGATGCTCCTTAGGGGGAAAGTCGTCACCACCGATATGGGGTGACACTGAAAATACGGTCTGAGCTTTCGTGAAGCTACGACCAGTGCTAGAGCCAGTTTCTCGAGGTGGGGATATCTTGTTTCGGCATCGACCAGGGTTTTGCTTATATAATAAATCAGAGATTGCGTACCTTCGCTTTCGCAGAACAAAATTGTGCTTACCGCGACTTCTGAGACTGCTAGGTAGACTAGGAGGCGTTCGCCGGGTTCTGCTTTGGCGAGTAGTGGAAGCGAGGACAAGTATGACTTTAGTTTTTTCAGGGTCTCGATGCAGTCTGAATTCCATTGGAGCCCGTTGTCTCTTTTCAGCACATTGAAAAACTTGTGGCATCTGTCGGATGACCGTGAGAACAGGGCGGCTATCCGGCCAGTCAGCTTTTATACCTGTTTTTTGCTGGTTAATATTTCAGGTATTCCTTCGATGGCCTTGATCTAGTCTGGATTGACTTCGATGCCTCTTTGTGATACCAAGAACCCGAGGAATTTGTCCGAGGTCACGTCGAAGGTGCATTTTTTGGGGTTTAGCTTCATTTTGTACCGTCTTAATATGTCGAAGGCCTCTGTAAGGTGGTCGATGTGGTCCTCTTTCCTTTTGGATTTGACCAACATGTCATCGATGTAAACTTCCATTGTTTTGCCGAGTTGGTCTTTAAACATTTTGGTGACCAACCTTTTATACGTGGCCCCTGTGTTCCTTAACCCGAATGGCATAACTTTGTAACAGTATGTTCCCTAATGGGTGATGAAAGTAGTTTTCTCCTGACCTTCCTCCTCCATGAGGATTTGGTTGTAACCCGAGTAGGCATCCAAGAAGCTCAGGAGTTCATGTCCTGCTGTTGCATCGATGAGTTGGTCGATATGAGGCAGGGGAAAAGAGTCTTTCTGGCATGCTTTGTTTAGATCTGTGAAATCTGCACACATCCGCCATTTCCCATTTTTCTTCTTTACCATGACCACATTTGCGACCCATTGGGGATATTTTGACTCTCGGATAGAACCATTGGCGAGCAGCTTATCAACTTCATCGCTGACGGCATCATTAATTGCAGCATTGAATTTTCTCCTTATTTGTTGTACTGGTGGATAGAGCGGGTTGACATTCAACTTGTGCGTAGCGATGTCTTTCGGGATGCCCAGCATATCTGAGTGGGAGAAGGCAAACAAATCAACATTGTTAGCTAAGAATTTATGAAATATACATGGCTCTGTGAGATTGTGCCCGATATAAGCCTTTTTGTGCTGTCGCTGCTGTTTAGTTAGACGGGATCGAGGTCTTCTACTGTCGACTCAACAGCTTCCACGATGTCGGGATCCTTGAAAATGTCTACCTGTGCGTCTGATTTGGTTCCCGGCATTGCTAATTGCTATGCTTCCGCGATTGTTCCCTTTAGTTGTTGGGTGTGTGTGCAATCTTGGGCGATACGATAGCATTCTTGAGCGGTGCGTTGTTCGCCTCGGATGTTGAATACTCCCCATGGGGTAGGGAACTTGATTACTTTATATAGGCTTGACGGGATGGCCCTCATGGCGTGTATCCACGGTCATCCTATGATGGCGTTGTAAGTTGTATCTTGGTCCATGATATGAAACGTTGTTTCCAGTGTGACTCCTCCGGCCAAAACGGGTAGTGCTATTTCTCCGGAAGTTCGCTCAACTGCATTATCAAAACCTGTTAGTGTTATGCAACGTGGTATTATCTTGTCCTCGAGTCGCATTTGTACGAGGACTCGAGGATGGATAATACACGCGTCGCTTCCATCATCTACCATTATTCTTTTTTCGTCAGTATCTGAAATATGTAAAGTAGTGACAAGAGCAACGTAATGAGGGAAGGTCAAACCGTCGGTATCAGACTTATCGAAGATGATACTATCTTCGAGGTCGTCATACCGTTCGTGGGTGATCGACCGCTTGAGTTTGTGTGTAGTGGTGAATTTAACATGGTTGATCGCTGCTTCGTCACCTCCGCTCACGATCATTTGGACAGTACGAGCAGGGGAGGGTGGCTTTGGAGGCCCCTGGTGTTGTTCACGTCCGCGGTCGAAGTTGGCTCGCCCCCGGTCGCTCATTAATTCTCTCAGGTTCCCTTGGTTCAGCATTCTGACTACCTCTTGCCACAGACCTATGCGGTCTTCAGTTTTGTGGCCCCGCTCCTGGTGGAATTCACAGAGGGCGTCTGACTTCCGAGTGTTCGGGTTGGACTTCATCTTTTGTGGCAATTTCACCTTCGTATCGAGCTTCTCTAGTGCATACAATATTTCTGAAGGGGAGACACAAAAATTGTGAGCAGATAAGAGCGGGGGCATAACTCTTTCGTTTCGCTGAGTCCTGGTGTGAGGCTTGGGAGGCTCTTCCAGGTGTCGAGGCGGTGGTGGGGCGGCTGTTCGGATGTAGGGCTGATATCTTTCTCGGCCGAGATGGGGACCCAGCTGATCCCTTCGTTCGTCGTTACGACGATCTTTCCTCGATTCTGCTTGAACTGACGTCAGTCATTGGGTCGGACCATTGAGATCATTGTGAATTTCTTCCCAAGTGGTGGGGGTATTTTATGAGCCTATTTAATAGTTTTCTGGTTGCTCTCGACCCGTTCCTGCTCAACCCGTTCTGGAAGGATGCTACCACTATCCCCTCTGATATATTTGCCAGGCACATTCTCACCCTGTTAAAACGGGCGAGGAAGTCCCTGAGTCCTTCGCCAGGCGATCGCCTAACGGCGAATATGTCGTTCACCCTGGCTTCCGCCTTTTTAGCTCCTGCATGAGCGGTGATAAACTTGTCGGCCATTTCCTCGAACGTTGCTATTGACCGTCCCGGCAATTGTGAGTACCAGGTTAGGGCTCCCCCTGTTAAGGTTTTGCCGAATTTTTTAAGTAGCACCGATGGAACTTGCTCCTTTGAAAGATCGTTACCCTTCACTATTGTGGCGTAGTGGACGATATGATCTTCTGGGTCTGTAGTGCCATCGTATATTTTCAGGTATGGTGGCATTTTGAAAGTTTTGGGAATTGCATGGGGAGATGCTTCCTCGCTGTACGGTTGCTCGACGAATCGACCAACGTCTCGTTTCGGTAGCAACTTTGGGCACCTGGTATCTTATCGACCCTTTCTTGGTGCTCCTTCATCTGGTCGCGGAGTGCTTCTTTTCTCTTTCCATATCCTCCATTTTCTTTGGAATGGCTGTGAGTGCGTCATTACTTGCACCAGCAGTGGTGTGAGTGTTACCTGTTTGGGGGATGGACTGCTCGCCAGTTGTTGTTGTGATATCTGCTTGTGCGGTGTTTCTATTCTCCCTTTGGACAGGTCTGTCGAGTATGTTGTTTAGAGTACTTGTCAGCCACTCTTCCAGTAGCTTTTTCACTGCCAGTGGTGCTTTCTCAGTTACTGACGTGGAGGCTCCTTTTTCGCGTGAAGCTGTTACACTTTCGCGAGGGGGAGGTGAGACGCTCCGCCTGGGCGTAGCATTTGGTGTTGCGTTCTCGTCGTCTTCTCTGCCATCTTCGTTGATGGTGTTCAAGATGTTGGTGGTGACACCTACTATCGTCTTCAACCTGGCATCTTATTTTCCCAATGATTGTATGATTGGGTGGTTTTTCCTTCTAACGATGTAATAAGGTATGCAGTTGATATGAATGTGGAATTTTTGAGATTAATGGATGAAAGTTGTACAACATGTGCTTGAATAAAGTGGACCAGACAATTCTTTCGTACATTCTTCTCTCAACTTTACAATATCACTCTTGGTTCCCAAAAAGGTAGATCCCCTTATTGGTCACTATTTCCTCCTATTTATAAGGGACATTCCCCAAAAAATCCTAAAAAGTACAACATAGAGAATATCCAAAGGAATATTCTTCTTCTCTCTTCCTAAATTTAGGTTACCGTTATTATCTTACTCCAGCTGCCCACTTCTGGTCGTCGGCCTTTATCATAACAACCGTCAGTCGCTGTGTCTTGGTCGACCTCGTCGTGGTTACCAAATTTGGACCAATACAAGTTTATTCCTTGGATGCATGGTAACCCAATTTATATGAAATTAATATTCTCAAGTTATTGCATTTTGAATCAGAAATAAAAATCATTTATTTGGCATGTCATGACATATTAAAAGTTCATTTTTAGTCATAGAACTCATTCAACCCATATCCCTTATTCCATCTTTGAATTGTGATGCAACGAATAATCCATGACCCCATTTTCAGAATTTGTGTAGGAGTTCCTTTTAAGTATAAGTAACGGGTAAAATACACATCGATCTTCCTTGGCCTCATTTTCAGAATTTTAGTGGTGTATTTCGTTGCTAAGAGCTTACGCCAATTCAAATCCTAAGTTGTTAACCTAAAACTAGTAAATGGTAGAGGTCAAACCTACTTAATAATAAAATTCCATCTTTGCCACATTCAGGATTGTCAACAAGTCCAAATACTGCAAACAGAGAATGAAAATTAAACAAGGACGGACATTTGGAAAATAGAGAGAACTTGCAGTCACTTCTCTTCCGCAGTAAAACAATATATATATTTAATTAATCAAAGAAACCTCTTAGAGTAAAACAATAATGTAAACAAAAGAAAAAGGAAGACTAGTCCTTCGACAGAGGCATGGATAATTTGACATAATACAAGACAATTTGTGAAAAATTAAGGAAATTAGAGATCTCGAAGCTGTTTAAGATTCATGGGAGATATATATTTGGGGTCACCCTCCAGCAATTGTTTGGCAATTATAAGGTTAGCAGCTTCACTCGGATGATAAGGATCCCAAAATACATGTTTGTCACGATCTGAACACATACTAGAGGTTGGTCCACATGGAACTATACCAGCAAATTGCCCTCCATTTCCACAGCAAGCTTTTGTCGCAGTTGCAAATCCTAAAAAAAAAATATTATAATTAGTAATTTGATTCTAAAAATAGATAAAGAATCTAAACAATTACGAATTATAAATTCTCACCATATTTGTCATAATTGGTGATGAGTTCCATAACAAGATCGTAAACATTTGCATGTACAAAAGTTGCTCCGTCGAGATTTTTGTTCATTTCAGAGAGCATATCTTTCAATCTAGCATTGTATTGAAGTGCTAGCTTGTTTGCTAATTCCACGCATTCGTTTTCCTTCAACTGATTAATTGTCTTTTGGTAAGGGATGCAACCAATTGGTCCAACGTTTCCAATTATAAATTTTCTTGCATCCAGTTTGTACAATCTCTGCCATACCATATATAGTTTTTAAAAAAAAATTATTTACACTGTCAGTACAAGTTATATATGTAGGTAATTAAGAAAGTGTTATTACCGTAAGTTGTGCCTTCAAGTGACCGAGAAGATCATCAATGAAGGCATCTGGGGATTCCGTTATTCTTGTACCAATAGAAAGTACAGGAAGAAGGTAATTGTTGAGGAAATCGTTGGACCCAATTGTGATTGAGAAAATGGATTTTTTCATGATATAATCCCTTGCCTTTGATTCACCCAATAGCTTACTGATCTCTTTTCTAGTAATGTTGAAATAATCAACTTGGATGTCCATTGAAAGCCTGTTTACCTGCAGGATATATAGAAGATGTGACCCACGTGATATTATTATTGTTATTGTTGGACTTTATTAAATGAGTTTGCATACAAAATGTTTTTGATCACTTACAAATATTCTTCCCGTGCCATTCATAATCCCACCTCCTCCTGATGCATAGTTAACTCCGTATAAAATAGCTCTTCCTGTGCAATTTGGAGCGAGATATGGTGTGGCATAATGGGGTTGGCCCAGTCCCTCTCCTAATTAAGACCAACAGTCATTACAAAGAACATCATTAGAACGAGAAAAAACGTAATTAAAGAACATAAATGTCTTAAAGTCACTGCACTAATAAAGAACAATAATTAATGTCATGACAAAATTGTAACTCCTCTTACCGACAATGTCTCCTATGGTTCTTCCATTTGTGTAGCGACCAGTAGGGTTCCCTCCAGAAGCTTTAAAATCTATGCCATTAGGTGGAATATTAGCCTTTGATAAGGTTTGTAAATAGTTATTATTTCCTGCATCTACTAAAGAATCTCCAAAGATATACGAAGCTCCAAATCCCAAATCATCATCAATATTATCAGCACAATTTGCGAAAGCGATAATATTAATGACCAAAAGAAGCACGACCAAAACATAGTTATAAGTTGTTAGGGCCATGGCTTTGAGTTACGTTGCTACAAAACAAAATGTTTCAATTTCTATCACAGAAATTAAAGATAGCTATAGCTTGAGAAAGTAAATCAATGTAAGGAGGCTATAAGAAGCAATTGCTAGAAAACTTGTAACAGGAATGATCCAAAAGGAGACGTGGGTTGGTATGAAACTCTTGATTTTGAGAAAAAAAGAGGAAATGGTGATGATAGATTTTCAAGAATTAGGTGGACTACATATGTGTGCAATATCTCAACGTGCATGGACCTTAGGCAATTACTTTAATTTCAAGTAAGCCAGTCCTCCACGTGAAGTCAAATACTGGTAATAAACTTAGGTATGTGTCTAAGCTAAGGCGAAATTAAGCAGAATGTTCTGGCAATAAACTTAGGTGTGTGTTTGGTTAGGGGTTGAAACCCACCCTGAAAGTTCTGCACCAGCACTCAACTCTTAAGGGCTTTTTGGTTTAAGGTGAGAGGATAATTTATGTATAAACTTAGGTCACTAGTCTGCCATTATTGGTCACCATCTAAATAAGGAATATTTCAAGAAGCATTTACTTTGTTTATCTACTTTAAATCCTTAAAATTTTGAAATGACGTTACGATTGATATGATAATTATTTCGAGTTTATTTATCCATTTAAATAAAAAGTTCTAATTTTGAAAAGAATAGAAAAATATAAAATATTTTAAGAAATTTTTTTCTGTAACAGAAGTAGAAATATATATATATATATATATATATGACTTCAAAAAGAGATAATTCATTTTATAGTGACGAATATTCATAATATAAATATACTACAATTTAGTATTTAACATTTTATAAATTGTACTATTCAGTCATATCAAATTTTATAAGTTTTTCCTTCAATTTTCCTGAAATCGCCCCAACTAAAATATAGTTTTATATTGTCCCTTGGCTGCCCATTGGGCCAGCATATGAAAGGGAAAACAACCATTTTATCAACCGGAGAAATTTAAAAATAGCCAGATTACGAGTGGTCATTCAAATATAGCCACAGTTTCAAAAGTAAGCGAAATTTAGCCACTTTTTATGTAAAGATAAATCTGAACGAAAACACTATTCAAAATCCGGGAAAATACTCCAGTATAATATACTGGAGTTCCAGTATAATATACCGGTCCAGCATAATATACTGGAGATTGGAGCACTCCAGTATATTATACTGGAACTTTATGCATGTTGGAGTTCCAGCATAATATGCTGTAAGTTCATACACAGGATCTCCAGTATATTATGCTGGAACTTTTCGTATGGCAGCAAAATAATGGCTATTTTTCAATGACTTTGCAAACGCTGGCTATTTTAGCATGATCAGTCCGAAAACTGGCTAGCCCGTGCTATTTTTACGTATATCAACATCGGATCGTTTCTTGTGCGGATTAAGTAGGAATAGCACCGGATAAAAGAAATAACCCAAATAGTCGCTCATCCAACCACTTAAACTAAAAATAGCACATCAATGTATGATATACGTATAATTATGAATAATCGGCATATAATCTATGTATACCGGCTAGGAAATATAAATATTGAATTTTACCTCTATTTAAGTTATACTCAGTTTTTACAACTATTTATATTTTAGCCAATATTGACAAACTTCAGGTCTGTGCTGCTGCTCCTTATTCTTAGCAAAATCAGACATTAATAATACATACTGAATGTGTTCTTGTGCTTCTTTCGAAGTATAGTTTCATGGGTAGCATTTTTCTGCTTTTGAAGCGGGAGTCTACACTTGTAAAGATTTATAAAGAATGGCTTAAAAACCGGCCATACGTAAAATGTCTTCCTTTAGACAGAAGATTAGGCCCGTATATTGATAAGAAAAGAACCTACTTGGCCCGATGCAACCGGACTTCTTTTGTTAAAAATAGGCAGAATACATCGGGAGCCCCTTAAACTTGTCCACATTTTTCACTTAGACACTTTATCATTAGTCCGTTCCATTTGAACACTCCAACCACATATCAAATGTGTCATTTAGATACAAAATTGGTAGGCAACCAAAATATAAAGATGCGTGTAATTCACACGCTTGTGACGTGTCAAATGAACAAATAAATGACTGACACGTGTAATTTTCTTTAAAAATGACAATTGTAATTAAAAAAGAAAACAAAAATAGCAGAAAACCCTCTCCCTTCCTCTCCCCTCTTCTTCTCCGATAAATCTTTTCCCTCCCTTCCCCTCCCACACTGCTGCTTCTTCCCCCTTCCCACCCGTTTTTGCTATATTAGTTCTTTAAAACTTGTTCTGATTGCAATTCTAGAAACAACAAAGTAAGTATTTATAACGTTTTATTGTAGTGTTAGCTAAAAACTTAGTAAAGAATTAGTACTATAGGTTCATTACACAGAGAGAATCTAATTTTGTAAACATAAAGTTTACGACGCTACGTTTTTTACTTCCGTTTTCCCTACTTGTTCTTCCAAAGCATATTTTGGGTTGTAGGTTGTTTTTCAAGTTACAAAGAAAACTTGTAATTGGGAGTTTCGGGAGACATGGCAAAAGAACAGTAGCCTATGAATTCTAAAGAAGTTCATGTTCTTGACCAATACAATGGTAATCTCGTAGATCGGAAAGTTATTGAACGACGGCTCAAAATCACCTTTTGTAAAGGTTAACTGAAATTTCCACACCCCATAATCCTAACTCAAGTTTTTTTGCTTTTGTTAAAAATTACAAACAAAAATTTTGATGTTAATTTCCAATCTAGATTTTGCTGATTTTGTTTTGCCAAAACTTGTTGGCCACAATTTCAATAGATAGTTTAGTTGGATTAGTCGGCGTTTGGGTGGTGAAAATATTGAAGGAGCTTGAGGAAGAAGGTGAAGAAATGGGGCCACATATCTGAAAAATGAAAAAGAACAATTCATCGGAAAATTTTCCGGCGAATCTATTCATTTTCCGGAAAAAAGTACGTGAAGTTTGCTTTTTGGATGAATTTCACGCGCCTCAAAAATGTGAGAAACACTTGCCGGTGAGTTTATGTACCGGCGTCACCTATGACCGGAGTAGCTCTGGAGGTTATAGGCCGGAGTATGTCGGAGGGGGTGGATTATTGGCGGAAGGAAGAGGTTTGGTGAAGATGGAATATTTTGGGAAGAAGTAAAATTAATATGTGGAAAATAAAATATAATGGGACCTACATAAAATAAAGTTAAATTTAAAAGAAAAAAGAAAAAAAACCTTAATTTTGAGGGTTTCACGCGCTTAGAATTAAGTGTAAAGCACACACTTTGCCATGTCAGCGTGAAGGGTTTGCGAGGTCGCACTTTAGTGGAGAAGAAGTGTCTAAATGGTAAAGGGTTTAGTTGAGATGTCTGACTGACCGTTGAGGACAACTTGAAGAGGCCGTTTATGTATTTCGCCTTAAAAATATTGTGAACGTCTAGACTCGTAGTAAAATATTGAGGAAGTTTTCAGAAAGGGATTTTTTCTTTTCTATACCATATATGAAACTTTATTACCAAATATGTGCATATTTTGTAATTTACCCGACCTGTGCACTGTTTTTCTATAATTTTTATACCATTCATTAATTAGTAATTAATAGTAGTTGAATCTTCCTAATATGACGCGCTAAAAATCAGGAAAAGAATATCCTAATTGATTTAGCGACCACCAGTTCAAATTTGAACGCAAATCCTTTATCTGATCTCTCCCGAATTTTTTTCGTAATTCAAAAAAAAAATACGAAAAGCTTCAACAAACTGAAATCAAATTGTAGAAATCAGTTCGTCGAGTTTCTTCCTCAATCCAGACATCAAAAAGGCGACCAATTATTCAACAAAATCAAGTCAAATCGTAGAAGCCAATACTGCCGATACTCTGTTCTTCATCTTTTTTTTCTCAATCCACAAATCAAAAAAACAATAAAATATAGAACAATACCTCAGCAACAACACTCAATCATGTCCAAAATCTCAATCATGCTACAATTGAATGGGAAAAATCTGATTATAAAAAATGGGTCTCATCTCTGTAATTTTTTGAGAAGAAGAAGGAATGGAGAAGACGAAGAAAGGGGAGGGGGAAAACGACGCTGGTCTTGGGAATTAGGGGGAGCTGATTAAAATTGTTATGTTACAAATTCTATGAAAGTCTGATTTTATGTTAGTATCTACAAAATTCATACATTTATCTACAAATAAACTACAAATCAGTTTAAGTATGTATAAATCAGTATTGTTTTTAAGGGTATCTATAAAATTACTACATTTATACTGCAATTAAACTACGATCTATGTTGAAAAAAATGTTGACTACAAAATTTTTTCTTCATCTACAAAATTTCTACAAATAAACTACAAATCAGTTTTAGTATTGCATAAAGCTGTACTGTTTTTAAGGGTATCTACAAAATTACTACATTTATACACATAAACTACAATCTATGTTGAAAAATAGTGTTGACTACAAAATTTTCTCTTCATCTACAAAATATCTTCAAAAAAACTACAAATAAACTACAAATCAGTTTAAGTATTGTATAAAGCTGTATTGTTTTAAGAGTATCTACAAAATTACTATATTTATACTACAATTAAACTACAATTTATGTTGAAAAAAAATGTTGACTACAAAATTTTCTCTTCACCTACAAAATTTCTACAAAAAAAAACTACAAATCAATTTAAGGTTTCAGGGTGAAGCTTAGTCTTTAAAAGTTGAATCTTTGAATCAAAGTCAGAAGAAGGGGTAGGGGATTGATTGGTTTCAGGGGTGATTTAAAGGTAAATATTGTATAGAATTTTGATATGGACATCAACATTTGACACGCCTGAGGCTGGGCTTATGCTTCTCTTCTCCAACGGAAAAATTGAGAGCCCTAGATTGCTTTTGCTTACATACCAAAAAGGCAGTAGCTCTATGTCGTAAAAGCATAAGAATATAATTTTGAATCCGAAAAGAAATAGGGAAGCGTGGGCCCTACTATTTCGTACGTAACAAAATTGCAATTTCCATCTCTGTATTTTTTGAGAAGAAGAAGGAATGGAGAAGAGGAAGAAAGGGGAGGGGAAAAACGGCGCATGTCTTAGGAATTAGGGAGATAGAGAAACGTGTGATATATGGACACCTTTAATTAAGGAGTAAAAACTGCCAATTAATTAGACCCTTAATTAAGTATGGTATAGGATTGGTAATTTGGTATACTAAGTGTAATTAAATCAAACCTTAAACATTGAGGGTAATAAGGTTTCCTATGTGGCATAGGAATGTAAAAATTCCTTTCAGACATCACTATTGTTTAGTGGCTATTAACTTTTTATAAATATCATATACAAAATTACTTCTATAGCTACTATTTAGTTGTTACACGACTGTATTTGTAGTATTCGCTCTACTGTATTCATGAATACAGTAACGGAATTCGCCTAAAAATAGGGGAATGCAGCTGTGCGACTGTATTCCCTGCATGAATACAGTAGCAGAATTCGCCTAAAAATAGGGGAATCCAGCTGTTTAATAATGGAAAGATAATCAATTAGTGTGTATCACTCTTAATTTAACCCTACAAAATCAATTCTACATAAATTTCGCTGCTATTGTGATGTATTCCATGTATTCGGGCGACTGTATTTATAAATACAGCGAGGTAATCAAGAAATAGGGTGTACATTGTTCTATTCAATCCGACTGTATATATTATATTCTATTCACATATATTCATTATTCATTATATTCAATTCACAGTATTCAATTCGACTGTATTCATAAATGTAAAAGTTAAACGTATTAGTTATTATTGGTTATCTATTTTCTAAGTGGATAATATTGTTCTTATTCATATTTGACTCGTTTTTAAAAAGGTTCATTATTCAACTCATTTTTAGTGGATAATATGATTTAATAACTGTTTCTTTATCCACTTTGCCACCACAGACATGATAAACAATTTGGAGGTTATAATGAAGAACAACTAGCTAAATGACTATTTTTTGATGTTATCATTTAATAATTTTTTTCATTGTTCGCTAAAGCTAAAGCTCAGACTGCTAACATAAGTCGCACGTCAATCAGTATTAATCCAGTGACTTTTTCATGCATTTTTACTTTTTTCAACTATAAAAAATTGTGACCTATACTACTTACATTTACATAGAATATATTTTTATATTAAAAAGTTATAAGTTGTAATATTGTACTAGTATTCTTTGTCTTTCGAATTCCGTCATTCTTTTCTAGAGAAGTAAATGAGTCAAGTAAAATATACTGTATTGTTTTACTTTCCCTAGTTAGTGGGCTCGTGCTAACCAAATTTGTATGTCCACTAAATGGGGAGACAACGGTCATTTTAGCACCCAACGGGCTTGAATTTCCCTCCTCCCTATACCTATTGCCGTAAACTTGTGTACGGCAGTTTTGTCGCTTCCACTATATCTGACCGTTGGGGTTGAGAGACTGAGAGAGGAGAAAGCTGGAAATGGGTGTTCGTGGGAGGAAGAGAGCTGCTCCGGTGAACATCGATGATGTCGACGGCGAAAATCAGAAAACTACAGAGTACGAACAGTTGAGGGAAAAAAGAATCAAAGAAAATCTTGAGAGAATGCAAAACTTAGGGATTTTTGACATATCACTAAAACTCAAGTCTTTTAAGACAACACCCACCGCTCGCAAAACCCCTCAGCGTCTCTCTCCTTTGCAGCCTTCTGGACCCAGTCGCCGCTCCTCTCGGTAGTGTATTTACTCAAACAGTGTACTCATTTTTTACTGTTGGGTGTATATCCTCTACTCTGTTTAATTTCTTTATAAAAATAGGAGTAATATTTTTGCTAATTTTGCTTGGAGTTTAAGTTGTATATACCATCAGTGTAAACAATTTTTTGCACTATTAGGTCATCCAAAGTGTATCTAAATATAAACCTCCTTAATATGGGAGAACTGTAATCTTACTGTGAGATTTGTATCCTTGAAGAAGAAACTGGTTACCTGCTGCAACAGGTAAAGACGATCTGATGGTGTAAAAATTCTTCATATTGACAGTGTATATAACTTAAAGACCACTTGATACTTGCATGGAAATGTAAAAAGAATGTCGACATGTTGTAATTTCTAATGGCTTATTCTTGTTTGTTTGGGGAATTTAGGTTGCAGAATGCAACACCACTTAGCTATTCAGAGGTGCATCTGTCTAAGATTGATAAATCATTGGAAGGTGAGCATAATTTGTTGAGGGAGGAAGGGTCAAAGCCAGAGATTTACACGGAAGAGCATGAGAAATTGTTGGGTACAACTGATTTGAGCTGGACTCTGTTTGTGGATGGATATGGAAATGATGGGAAGCGAATCTATGATCCGGTGAGGGGAAAAACTTGTCATCAATGTCGGTAAGGAGATATTTTTAGGTCTACACTATGTATTTATTGTGCTTTATGTAAAGTATAAAATGATTTTCATCAGCATTGCTACAGACATTACCTTCAGTTGGGACCTAGTATCATCAGTAAATTCTTGCTTCATGTTGTTCCTATAAGCTAACCTTATGTGACATTGGCAAAATAATGAAAAATTAGGAAATAATATAAATGACATGAAATGATCTATGAATTTCCTCAATCAAACTCCTCATTGTGCATTGGAATCTCTATTACATCTTTATTTTGAGGGGTACATTTTTGGTTTAATTAGCCTATGTCAAAATGGTGCGAGCACCAATTATTCTCTCTGAGCCTAGAAATTTTAAATATGCAAGGAGTTTAGTGTTTTCTCTAGTGTGATGAATCAAGTAATGTTTGCAACGGATATTTTCTTTGAAGGAGGAACAAAATAATGACATATCTGCCTTCCTTTTTCCTGTCATTATGTAATGGTTCTTGAATATTGATTTGATTTTCACTCTCTTACTCTCTCACTCTCACACACACAGAGATTTGCCAGACAGTTCTATTGCGTCTTTTGTCATGTAAATACAATTTCCCCTGTATGAATATAGTAAGTTATAACCATGTGGTTCTTCACCTTCTTTCTACAGACAGAAAACTCTTGGTCATCGAACTCATTGCTGCAAATGCAACCTGGTTCAAGGACAATTTTGTGGAGATTGCTTGTATATGAGGTATAACATCATGCATATCAAAACTTTGATATCTACTAATGTTTAACCCTTTTTATGCTCTCACTATGCCAAACTTCTCAAATAGACAAAACTATCTATAACTGAAGCAATTCAATCGAGAAGTGCATTTTTATCTCTACATTGATGTTTGTCTTCTATGCCGCTCCATGATGGAACTACTATCTCCGTCAATTATTTGTATATTTGGTCCTTTTGAACTTTGTCAAAAAGCTTTGAAGATATGCATCTATTCCCCTCTCATTTTACCACTTGTATTGATATCTCGTTCCTATGCACACGTGTCTATGTTGTGAAGTTGGATATTTTCAAGCCAATAAGAATTATATGGTACTCCCTCAGTCCCAAATTATGTGGCACTGTTTGACTCGGACTGGAGTTTAAGAAAGAAAGGAAGACTTTTGAACTTGTCAATCAATCAATCAAACCCAGTGAAATCCCATAAGTGGGGTTTGGGGAGGGTAGTGTGTACGCAGACCTCACCCCTACCTTGGGGAGGTAAAGAGGCTGTTTCCAAAAGACCCTCGTCTCGAGAGGAAAAATAGAAAACAATCAAATATCAACAATATAGCTAGAAAAATGATAAGAATAATGTAAGAACCAGAAAAATAGATGGAAGAAAGCAATAGCACTAGCAATAGCAACAAGTAGTAATCACAACAAGATCCGAGAAAGCCGAAGTGGAAGATAGTAAGAAAACAACCATAATACTAGCAATCAAAGAATAGTGACAAGATACTAATGGACTAGCCCTAAACAACCCGGTATGAATTAGAAAAACGCTTGACTACCTACTACCCTTATATTCTAATTCTCGTCCTCCACACCTCCTATCAAGGGCCATGTCCTCAGTAAGCTGAAGTCGCGCCATATCCTGTCTGATCGCCTCTCCCTAATACTTCTTAGGTCGTCCTCTGCCTCTTCTACACTCTTCAGAGCCAACCGTTCACACCTCCTAACTGGCCATCTAGGCTTCTCCTCTTCACATGCCCGAACCATCTTAGCCTCGCTTTTCGCATCTTGTCCTCCATGGAGGCCACGCCCACCTTCGCCTGAATATCTTCCTAACCTTATCCAACCTAGTGTGCCCGCACATCCATCTCAACATCCTCATTTCAGCTAGGTTCATCATCTGGATATGGAAGTTCTTGAGTGGCCAGCACTCGGCCGCATACAACATAGTTGGTCTAACCATCGCTTTGTAGAACACTTTTGAACTTGTGTGGCTATAAATCATCTCATTACGGGTAATTAGGAATTTCGAGTTAAATTGTTTCTAAATATAGAAAAGTGACATTATTTTTGGACAGACTAAAAAGAAAAGCGTACCACATAAATTGGGACGGAGGGAGAATCAGTTAGGAAGTTTCTTCCTTGCTATATTGCCCGATCAAAAAAAAAAAGTTAAGAAGTTTCTTCTTTAAACACGCAACTTGGAGTTTTCCACGAGGGGATCAGTGGCGAAGCCACATGGTGATATAACCACCCTTCATCAAAAAATTGCACTGTGTACATAGGTAAAATATTACGTTTTAGAAGTATATAACACATATTGAACACCATTTGTCGGAAATTTTTTTTACTTCTTTTAAATTTGAACACCCTTGGGAAAATTCCTAGCTTAACTTTCAGCTTCGTATATCTTTGAATTCCCCTATAGTGCAACTCATGTAGTGCAACTGGATGCAAAAATCCTAATATGACCAGCTTTTATTTTAGTCATGTAATTAGAAAAATGTCCCAAGATAGATTCTCGGATACAAGACCTGCAGGATGATGAATATGTATTTTAATTAGAAGGGGAACTTCAGAACTTTTTAGTTGTTTCATCATGTTGTTCTGGATATCTCCATTTACAAGATCTGCAGAATATGATGCATATGTATTTTCATCAGAAGGGGAACTTCAGCACTTATTAGTTGTTTTAACATTTGGTCTGGATATCCCCCTTTATCCGGCCCACCAGTGTAGAAGGGGAACAAGTTGCTTCATTGTGTTATTGAATTACTCAATGTAGATATGGAGAACATGTACTTGAAGCGAAAAAGAATCCAGACTGGATTTGTCCTGCTTGTCGAGGAATTTGCAACTGCAGCTTGTGCCGACAAGCAAAAGGATGGGCTCCTACTGGTCCTCTTTATAAGAAGGTAATCTCTTTATAAGAATTTCATATTACCAATCTTTTGATTGTTCTTTCGATCTCTTTATCACATCTTTCCTTTTTCCCCTTCTTTTCCATTCTCAAACTCTTGATTGTTCAACCTATCCAGATTGCAAGATTGGGTTATAAATCAGTTGCACATTATCTGATTCAAACCCATCGAGCTAGTGTCAGTTCTGAAAACAACTCGACACCATTCTCTGCAAAAAGATCACTAGCTTTCTCAGGTATGGAAGCTACGATGAAAAATGAGGAATTTTTCAACTATAACAGTGATTCACAAGGGCTGGTGATGAATGCTCAAACCGAGGTCAAAGAATTGGAACATGATCCCAATGAGTACATTTTAGCACCCGAAAGTAGCACAGAGCCCTCGCTGAAGCCTGCTTTTGCTGCTGAGTCCAGCGGTGAACCCTCAGTACTACTGAAACGTGACTCTAAAAACAGTGGTACAAATCTGGTTCCCCCATGCGATAATGTAGGAAATTTCTCAGCAGACAACAAGCCAGGAAATGAAAATGCTGTGCTGGTAGGCAGTGCATTGACTTCAAGTGCACTTATGCTTACTGAGTTGAGTAATGGCTACAAAGGCGAGCCACCATTTGATTAGGAAATTGATGGTGGGAAAAAGCAATCAGACGAAGAAAAAGAGGATGGCACTTGTGTCTCAGATGACAAAAACTGTGATGTTTTGGTAAACAGTGATGGTATGGTTGCACCAGAAGCAAGTTCAAAGTCAAAGAAGAAGCCTTGTCGAGCTGCTGCACAAGTCATTGATAGCATTGCTGGAAGACTAAGGCAGAGACGTGGAAGAATCAATGTGGAAGCATAACAACATCTCGGATAACAAATGCTGGGATAGTCTTTTGCACCTGAAACTGGTTACAACATTGTGATAGTGAAGTCTAGGTGGCTGGTAGTTTTTACTAAATGTAATATATAATCCTGTGTAAGGATTACTTTTTCTTTTAATTGCTTACAAAACTTTTTAACTGGCTCAGCTGAAGTAACTGAACCAATATAAAAAGGAGCACTCAATGAGTCAAATTCATAGTATTCTTCTAACAGAACTGTTGCAGTAGATAGAAAATTAAAAAGGAGCATGTAGAAGCACCAAATCGAGGCAATATTTAGCTATCTCTTGTGCAGTTCTTTCATTATGACCTAGTCATAATCTATACAATAAATCATGCCACAAACTTGTTATAAAAAATTTCAACTCCCAGTAACCCAACTTAAGTGACCAAACCACAAAAGGTTTTGGTTAAGCCCAGAATATAGGCAGCTCCGGGAACAGTTACATACCAAGGCATATCAACTCATTCATCACTTCCGTCTCAAATAAATTACCAATTTGGCTTTCTAAATGAATTTAACTTATAAACACACTGACATGTAAATGAATTTTTACACAATCAAATAAATTAAATGAGAATTATAGGTATAAGTAACTTAATAACTTTGAAGATGAGACATGCACTTTGAAAATAATGTGAAGTATCAGTGTATATATATAAGTTAAATCCTGTCTAAATAGGACAAGTTGCGATCGTATCTCGATTCTAACCGTTGTTTCATTTTCAATCTGTGACATCATTTGTTCAGTTCATTGGGAGCATGTGACTTGCACAGGCCTTCTATAAAGGACACAATCTCACGAACAACATTTACTTGCTCGTCATGTGATGGGACACAATTCTCATTTTCATATATTTTCCAAAATCCATAAAATATGTGTAGTGTCAAGATTGCCCTTTCTAAGAAAACGCTAGTGGTAGTCACGAAATTCCCGGAAGACTTATGAAAATATGCACCAACATTCAAAGCCAGAGCCGCGTTTTGAACTTTATAGGTTCTGAATTTGTCACAAAATTCATAACTTGTCTTAGTTATTGGGTTCGCAGTTAAATATTCATACATATTTAATGAATTTCTTAGTACAAATTAAATAATAGGATTAGTTACCTCCTATAGCAAAGGTTGATACCTTATTTATTTTAAATAAATACCATTTCAAAAAATTATATTCTATAACTACCTTTTGATTTTTATAGCCAAATACCTATTTATGGTCACCTCCTACCCTTAAGCCATAAAATACGCTGCCCTCTCTCTCATAAAATACGCTGCCTCTCTGGCTTGACCCTAATGAAGGCAACGAAATCTCCATGGCCAACTCCAGTATGTTTCTTCTTCTTCTTCCTTTCCGATTTTGATTGTTTATGTTTCTTCTTCTTCTTCCTTTCCATGGCAAGGAATTTTTTGGGACTTTAACTTCTTGGCAATTTCTTCTTCAGTGGGTGCTAGCAATTTCTTCCGATTCGTTACCAGCGGGTGCTAGCCAAATTCAGTTCTGGGACTTTAACTTCTTCAGTACGGATGCTAGCAATTTCTTCTTCAGCAACCTTTCTCGTTTTCTTCTTCTTTCTCTCATCGCTGCTTATGGAATCATGGTCGGAATCCGATTGGTCGTCGAAAAATCGTCGACTAAAATAGGTCGTCTGAAGTTTGGGGTTGAGCAATTTGAAGATTCTGTTAACTTTTTTTTAAGAGCATTTCAATATATCTCGCTATATTTCTATGTATTTCATTGTATTCACTATCTTTTTTTTCATTGTAATTCAATGTATCTCGTTGTATTCCATGTATTCATTGTATTCAGTGTCTTTTTTTCTCATTGTATTTCAATGTATCCCGATGTATTCTATGTATTTCATTGTATTCACTGTCTCGCTATATGCCATGAATGTATTCATATATTTTTTTTATTAATATAATTTATGTATTCAGATGTATTATATAATTTCTCTGAAGATTGCTTTGGGGTATTTTTCGGCTGAGAATCTTTTTTATAACTGAAAAATACAAAATTTATGTGTTATAATTGAGTTTGTTGAGTTATATTAAGAGTCTATTATGTTAATTGATTCACTTTCCGTTTTAAAAACAGTTTAATCCCCTATTTCACGCCGTGAATACAGTCGAATACAATCGAAAACAATAATATGTCCAGCTGTAATCCCATGTTTCACTCCATGAATACAGTCGAATACATTCGAATACAACAACTGATTAGCTGGACTTCCCTAATTCACGCCTATTTTTGCTACTGTATTCATGAATACAATAGCTTAAATACATCAAATACATCTTATAACCACAGAAAAGGTATCTATAATCCGTAATATAGCAAATGATATATATCGATGACTAATTACTACTAAAAGATAGTGCTATATAAAAATTTCTCAACTAAATACAGTGTTTAAGCAAAAGTGACTGAGTTCGGACGAACCCACACCTTATAAGGCTAGCTCCGCCTCTGCGGCTACATTGGAGTCATAAATTTTGGGAACAAATAAGAACAATGGTTAGAGTGGGGAAGAATACTGCCTATATAATAGGGATCAATTTGGAATTTCCTCCGTCTGTCTCTAAAACTCGTTTAGAAAACAAAACACAGTATAATTGATATGTTTGTTACAAGTCAAAAGACTAGAAGAGGAAAGGTAATGCTAAAAAGAGTAAGGAATTAAAGAAATAACCTAACGCAGTTGCTTTCAGAAAGTGCCATCCTATCTGCTCATGCATTGTTCCTAATCCATTTTTGTGAAAAGTTGGAGTTTTCTTTCAATTGATCATTACTTACGTAAAAGCAACCCGTACTATTAGGAGCGATTCATGCAAGGGAAGTTTCACTAATTTTCCTAAGACTTCAACTTGTATACACGAGTTTATTTATTTATTTATTTTTTGCACTATCAGATCACTCAAAGGATAATTATAGGTAATTGCGCGCCTATAATAAATAGAACTGGTCAATAAAACAGACAACCATAGGATGTTAGTTTTGAAAATTATTTTATAAATAACTGCAAACAATACAAAAAGAGTGTGTTATCTTATTAGTAATATAAACAAATACAAAGATAGTTGTAATTTTCAGATTTATACAAAGCGATTAATTTATCTAAATGACCAAAAGTAAACCCACAAACACAAAATCTTGTTTCTCAAGTGGAGTAACCATGTTCAAGTTACTTTTCAACATTATTATGGTTTGAGGAATGTATTTGTTGACTCGATTAATTGGTATGCTATACTCGCCTTATGTTCTCTCTCTTTTAATCAATAAATAAAAGGTAATAAAATCATATTAAACTTTTTAATCAAATTTTTGTTGACTCGTTCAGTTAGGTAACATCTTTAAGTTTCTAAATAGAGTTACTGCTTGAAGTCTAACGAAGAATTGAAATTAATTCTATATATGGTTGTGAAGATTTTCAAATGTAAGAGTCACAACTCATATTCAAATCTATAGTTGTGAAGATTTCAAATAAAACTTGTATTTCCCCAAGAAATAAAGCGCGAAAGGAAAAGTTAGGGGGGAAAAGAATATAAAAGGGTAGATTTTGTTGCTAGTGGAAATTGGCAAAAGCAAAGTGAGGAAGTTGCGAGAAAGAAAAAGCTCTCGAGTCTTGATCATATATATAATAATCACTTTAAAGAGCGCACTTTCACTTTTAAAAGAGGAAAATTAGGAATAGAAAGAGACATAAGCTTCTCTCAAGAACGACAAGGGAAATCATTATATTTTCCTTTGAAAAATATCTTTTTCAAATATAATCATGAATATGTAAAAATAATATTAAAGTTCCTAGTGGGTAGTTTAACATTACGTCGATCAGAGGGTATGAGCAAACAACTCAGAATAACTTTTTTGTTTTACTTAGGATAATTTATAAAACCGACATCTAATTATTTTATGACACTATTAGGTAATCGTTGAGATAAAAAGGCAGACCAAAACAGTTATTGTGTACCATAACACCCTTTATTATTAATTTACTCCTATTTGCCTAAAAACCATTCCCCCTCCATGTGGAAGGGGTGTGAAAAAGATAAAATGACCAACATAATTAAATGCGTGGAGACTAGGTTTTACATTTTTTAAATTCCGCTTTTAAATACTCTATTAACTCATATTTGTAGAAGTTTATTAATTCATTTTCTATTCGCCAGAGCTTTAATTTCTTTTCATGAGAGTTTAGGTGAGAAAATCAGAAAGAATCTCTAAAGTTGGACAATTCAATATTTGAGCATATATGAAAATTGAAAGTGGGTGAAAGATGCTTCTGAAGAAATGAATTTTATGATAAAATGAGGATATTTACCACTTAATTGTAGTTACATGATAAATCTATGTACGAAATGCACATATTTTACATTCATTGTTTTGATATAAGAGTATTGACTAAGTTGAGTCTTTCGGCACTTTGAATGAAGAAACAATTCTTAAAACTTCTATTAAATGGAAATTGTTTTGGGACAGAGTTAAAATATCAAAGTGCTTAATTTACAACTCTCTTCTCTACAGTTTACTTTTACATAACCTACTACTACTAGACTAAACATTGTTTTAGGTTGCACTGAAAAAAAAATGAAAAATGCCATTTTATTTTTAAGAAAAGTTAATGTAGCATGCTGCATGCCATTACGTTTAAATCAAATTTTTTATCAATTTATCACATGTTAGTGACCTTTTTTTGCCCTTCATCAGAGCCAATTGTTTAATTAACAGAAAGGAAATGCGTCATTAAGAAAAAAGGATACATTATTTGCCTCAAATCAGTCTGTCTCTCTCATATTATTTAGACAAAACATAGTTCTAATTTCCCGGATGTACTAATACTATTGGATTACGGTGGGGAGGCCCCTGTCTTTTTTGTGAAAAATACTTTTATCCAATGTTTACTTGAAGGGCGAGAATAAAAGTGAGAATAGATACTCTCTTCATCTCAATTTATTTATAGGGGAATATTGGGTTATAACAGATGGTCGATTGATAACATGACATGTGAAACCCAAGATAGGCAAAGGGCAAGTAAGGGAAAACCAACAAATATAATCGAAATTGGGAAATACCGAATGGAGCATAGTCGACGGGAGAAGGTCAAGTGTTTACCATCAGATAGCATTCAATGAAGAAATATTCATTAACATTAAATGAGCGACCGTTGCAGAGACTATTTGCATTCATGGCATGTCGTT